GGAAAATACGCGGCAGTGCGGCCACCCCCTCCAGAAAGCCGTGAATTCCAACGAAATGCGGGTGTGAGAGTGCAGATGAGGTCTATGAAAGCTTAGTGTCTCAAGCTTTATTTATTTCTTTTTACGAAAATATTTTTTTCCTTGCAGTTATTGTTTATTTCTTTGCAAGTTCATTTCTTTCCTGTTTACATTTTGAATGTATTTTTTGAGTTGACGTTCATGATATAGCACCTCAGTTTTACCTGCTCCTAGAGCTAATCGTTTCCTTCTGTTCTTTAGATTTATTGTAAACAGCCGTGCGGAAAGAAAATGACCCACTGGTTTCATCGCAACCCCTTGAAGGCCACAGCTCCTGTTTCCTTCAATTTTTATGGGGTAGCTACCACTCCTGGTGCGACAAAGATTTGCAAGTAAGTGCTTGTGATCAGCTGCAGTCTGTCGCTCAGTGTGGAGGAGATCTTGGCAAGTAATGGTTACTCATAGGTTTTTCTTCTGAGTACGCTAGAAATGTGTAGGCTGGGAGACAATAAAACACTGATAACATTGAGCAGTTCATTACAAAGAAGAAATTATCCAGTTTTCAAGTCTCTTACTGTATAGCAAGGCCTATTGTAATAACTCAGAGGCAAAACACTGAACATTTCATTGTGTCTCTGAAGACTGCGCAGTCTTCTGCAAAAGGACTGTTTTAAGTAGTTTCCATAAGTGAATAAGGCATAAATGTTTTAGATAAGAATGTAATGAAAGAGATCTCAGATTGTTTTGCAGATCTGTTCTTATTTACGTTTTATTTTTTCTGGAGGTCTTCAAAACCCGCTTGGATGCAGTCCTGTGCCACCTGCTCTTGGTGACCCTGTGTGTGCAGGGGGGTGGGACTAGGTGACCTCTAGAGGTCCCTTCCAACCTTAAGCATTCTATGATTTGCTCATCCCATTCTAATATTCAGGGGTATTTCCGCTTGTTATTTCTGTCCCCTGCACCCAGCCTTTTTTTTTTTTTTTTCGATGAAGAAACATTTCCTTTTTAGTTTGTGTTTGGACAAGAATTTGACAGTGAGTGGTGGTTATTTCTTGCTATCTGATTCTTTGGTTTAAAGTACTGTCCATTTTGGGCGATCCTGGGTAACCAGAGGAGTTGGGAAGATTTTTCTATATATATTAGCTTCTTGCTAAATCCCTAAAGTGCCTCTGCTTGTGTTAAGATAGCTAAGCTGAATGCCAGCTTCATTTTCTTATGTAAAAGAGCAACCTCTGGTGATATGTGTGAGTGGGTACCTTTTTATTACGAAAACATTGTGGAGTAGAGCTTCTTAGTTTTCTTCCCTATTTCCTGCATACAGTGATATCAGATTATCTCGAACACGGCTGTTGGAGCTGTTTACTGACTTGAGTTGTAATCCAGAAATGATGAAAAATGCAACTGACTTATATTTCTCACTCTTGCAAGGTAGGAACATGCAAAAGTGCTAATAAGTCAAGAGGTTTATCATATAATTTAACTTTTAATGACACTGCTAAGAATATATGTTGTACTAGTCTTGTATAAAGAAGCTCTGTGCTTAGGAAGGCAGGAAGTGTCTTTGTGGGTTCCCTGCTTGTTACCAGTTCTGAACATTCACCAGGCCCTCTCTGCAGGTTTCAGATCCCTTGTGACCGCCAGTACCAGGTGCTGTTAGTCCTGTCCTCTTGTATTTAGCCTCACTCATCTTCCTGCTGGAGGAAATCTGTTTTTTAAAGAGAATTGCTGCTTCAGGATAAATTGAATCTAAAGCTACGTAATAGACTCATTGCAAGTTTATATTTTTATTGTTTAAGTGCATATATAGTTTCTTGTTACTCTAGCATGTACGTTTTCAGTAGATAGTTGCCTGTGATGCTCAAATTGGTTTCCTTGAAACCTTCTTCCTGCCAATGTTTTGATAACCTCCCTTAGCAGTCATCCTATATAGCCACCCTGTGGGGGCCTGCAGACACCTGCAAGACTTTCCTTGCACAATCACATCTCAAAGGATTGGACTGATAAGCTACTGGACAAGGAGTTTATTATGCTAGCCCTTTTGTCTTGTTGCAAGCCTTGTCCTCAAGATACTGAGGAATAAAAGCATCAGGAAATAACACAGAGCTTTAAGCTCTACAGCAAAAACATTCTTTTTTCTGTGTCTGTGTTCTCATTGATCCCCATTCTTCTCCCTGCCTGTCTCTTTTTCTCACGTTGAGATTGCCTTTTGGTATGTGTTTTATTTTATAGGTTTTATTATTTCACTGGATGACTCTTCCCAAGAATCTAAGTTGCGATATATTCAGAATTTCAAATGGACAGACACATTGCAAGGACACGTTCCAAGGTATGTGTGGTTCCACCAGCACAGGGTGTGCAGATCTTTCCTTTAATCTGTTGCATACATCAGTGCCAGCTGGTTTGTGAAGGAAAACTTAAACATGGCAAAATTTTGGACACAAAATAGTTTCCAAAAACTTGTTGTTTTATGTGGCCCATGTTCTGAAGCGAGTGTTGCCTTTATTAGTGGTGATAAACTTAAATCATAGATCAATCAAAACATGGTGAATCCTTTCACAAACTACATTTACAGTTGGGTAGAGTAGTACAAAAAAAAAAAAACCCAACTCTGAGAGTATTTGTGAATTAATTGCCACAGAATAGATTGCTGCTGTTTAAAACTACCTCATTCATTTCTTAATTAATGTTTTGGCTTTTTGGTAACCTGCGTGTTCCTCAGGGTTTGGGGGTTTTTGTTTTTTTCTCCTGTTCTCCAAAACTGCTAGTATATTTGGAGGCTGCAAACAAAGCTTTTGTTTTAAAGAGGAATATAGATCTGGAAAGGCTCTCCTGGATTATTCACTCGCCCAGTGCTATTATTGGTGACTCCACTGTATAATTATTCTTACAGGTTTGTCAGGTGTTATTTAGAAGTAGCATTCAGTTCCCTTACGGCTTTTTATTCCCCTTGGAAGACAAAATACATTGATTAGGATTCTCTTAACTTTCTTATGGTTGTACCTGTTTGTTCTTGTGCCAACATTACTTCCACCACACCCGCACCTTTCCTTTTAAATGTATTTAGCTTGTAAGGTACTTTGAGCTCGTGATAGTAAGTTAACTCTTCTCAAAGCCCAAGTGTGTTTTTTAGGTTCTGAAATGTCCTGTATTTATACATGCCAGTTGATTGCAGTTATATACATATTTGCAATAAAATGTATTTTGAGAGATGTAGCGGACTTACGAAGGTAGCAGCTGCAACTTTAGGCAATCCAGAGAGAAGCTTTGCACTAAATGTGCAATTAAAAAAAAAAAGTCAGCCACACCCAAAACTAAACAAATCTCAAGTTACCGTTTTAAAATAAAAGTTCCCAAATGTGAAGGCTAGACATTTGAATGTGGGAAATCATAATTATGAGCTCTTCAAGGGAGTAAGTGAAAACTGAAGTCTGTTTTAGGCAGTTCAGCAAATAGGAAGTTCTGAATTGGGAATTACTGACTTGTAAATTAAAACTATTTTACAGAGAGCAATGCCAACTCATGTTACAGAATTCTGTGAGAGAATTTGTCAGAACAAAATGAAAAACATTGAATTGTTTGGGGGTTGTTTTGGGCTTTCTGTCTCTCTCTTTAGTTCCCAGCAGGATGCAGTATTTGAACTGGTTTCTATGGGATTTAATGTGGCTCTGTGGTACACAAAATATGCATCAAGACTTGCTGGAAAAGAAGAGTAAGTGCTTTGCTTTTCTTGGTAATTCCATTGCAGCAATATTCCACGAAAAAAGCTTAGTAGGTTCTGAGTTTTGACTGCCGTAGCGCGTGTCCAGCGGACACAGCTATGCGTTCAGGGAGGCAGGTGGCTTTTGTTCGTGTGCTTTAATGGCCACGTGCACCTCAATCCTTCCTTGCAGCTGTGAACAGTGTATTAGTACTATATGAATGTGATATGGGGAAGGCATTAGCTGTGAATAAACCTTTCATCAGTCCTACTCTAGATGTCTAGTTTGAAGATTTAAATTCTCAGAATCACAGCTCTGCCACCTCTTAACTCTACAGGTTTCTGAAGCTTTTTCTGAGGCTTCCTTTCAGTAGAAAGTCATTACAAGGGGTTACCTTTTTTAGTGAAAATTAAGTTTTGACCAGAAGGTTAGCGTGGCTCAGGTTACTTACAGGGACTATGGACTCCCTTCTTGAAGGACACCAAGACTCAGTTTGACAAGGGTGTAGCTGACTGTTTTATCATTAGCAGTAGTCCTACTTCAAGCAGGAGGTGGGATTAAATGACATCAAATGTCATTTCCAACCAACATTTCTGTGAATCATTCTGTGTTATGCCTTTTCTTAGTATAACAGAAGATGAAGCAAAAGATGTTCACAGAAGCCTGAAGATTGCAGCTGGGATTTTTAAACATTTGAAGGTAGTAAAATTTTCTTTGCTGTCTGTTTCTTAAGTTGTCTCTGATGAGAGTACTTGACTTCTTGTCTTAGAGGGCTTTGCTTTTATGATGGAAGTAGAGAATATCTGATGAGATACTTTTACTCTCTGAATAATACCATAAAGAGAAGAGTGTTAATTTGTCATGCTGCCACTCAGTTTCTGCTGCTCTTCCCCCCTGGCAGAGGAGTAGTAATCAAGTCTGGGCAATAGCATGTGCAATAATGTAGCCAAGAATCTTGTGATCCTCACTCAGTGCTGCATATACTTAGGAAAAACATGAAGTGGTCTCCATTTAGGGACTTGCTTTGAATTATCAATAGCGATACTAGGCTTAACTGACTTTGAGACTTGTTTTGTACTTAGGAAAGTCATGTTCCAAAACTGATTACACCTGTAGAAAAGGGAAGAGATTTAGAAGCTCGACTTATAGATTCGTACATCATACAGTGCCAAGCTGAAGCTCAAGAAGGTACCTTTAAATATGCTTGTCTGTTGGGGGTGGCAAGTGAGAGTCCTGGCCTCTGGGTTTCTTTGGTGTTTCATGAAGCCTACTAAGTCCACCTGGTAGCGATGATAGTTTTCTCCCGAAGTACTGTGGCTTAGTGGGGAGGGTTATTTTTAAGGGAATTTAAGTGCTCATTAGAGGAGGAAGAGACATTAAAGATCAGTCTGATGCTACAAATTTGACTAGTTTGGAAGAACTTATGTGTGACAGTCCCCGCCCCCTTTTTTTTTTTTCCCTTTCATGCAGTCCCTCCTATACCATTCTTGCCTAACATAAATTCCAGTTCAATTAAAAATATTTCATGCCTCTGTTCACTCATTAGTCTTCTAACTAATCTTCCATTTTTTTCTCTTAATTTGGAATCATCCTATTCAGGTAACAGTCTGTCTTCATTCTGTAGTCTGTTTGATTTGTGAGGACATAACACCTGCTTTCTGCTTATGCCTGGGTGTTAAAACGCTAAATACATCTGCTAGATTTGATGTTTTCAGTTAAACCTCAGTACTGTGATGTGGAATTTTCTTTCAGTGACAATTGCCCGGGCTATTGAGTTGAAACACAATCCAGGTTTAATAGCTGCTCTTGCTTACGAAACAGCAAACTTCTATCAAAAAGCTGGTAAGTGTCTTGTTTTGTATCCTTAGTGACCTGGTTTATGCATTCATGCCAGCAGACATACTTCACCCACCCATCAATTGCAGTATTAACTGTTTCCACTGAGAAAAGCATTTTCGTGCTTAGTTTCTATTTAATGCATTCAAGGCTTTGGTTATATTTAGATATATTTTGATAAGGCTTTGTTTGTTTGTTTGTAGGTAGGTTTGTAGGTTGTCCTGTAGCTGCTAGTAGGAAATGTTAGCAAGAGGAGCTAGAAGACAATGTGCTATGTGTAATAGCAGGTCTTGCCAGCAAGCAAATGGTTGATGTAGACAGAGCGTGTTCAGCTCTCTTTGGCAAGCAGGGCATGACACAGACACAGGCTGTAAAGCGAGCGGCAGGTTCAGCACGTGCATCCTCCCGAGCGAGCAGGTTTGTCTGTGGACCAACTGAGGCGAGTCAGAAAAGGGCAAAAATGCAAGAGTCAGTATGGAAGGTGGACTACTGTAACACGTAGACATTTGTAGGTCACTACTTGAAATTAAACTCTTGGCCAGCTTGGAAATGCTATTTAGGAAAAATAGCCTTCCAGCCTCCATGGATAGTTTGTGATAGTGCATGGTAGTTCAGTGAGCTGCATACTTGTTTTTTTCATGGTTTCTCTGTGCCTTTGCAGGAATAACTTTTATCTCTTGTTCTTAACTACTTTGCATTTAAGATCTATTGCTGACTTTAAGAATGCTGCTCTTTGAGTTTATACAGGCTTTTTGTTTACAAGTGTCTTAGAATAATGTTGCCTTCTTGTTCATAGATCAAACACTATCCAGTTTGGATCCAGCCTTTGTAGGTAAATGGAGGAAGTACTTAAACTTGAAGACTTGTTTCTATATGGCCTATGTAAGTACTGGATTGACATTGATCATATTTTTAATGTTGTCTAGACAAGGAATCAGGGCTGAGTATTGTCTTGAAGAGATACTCTGCAGTGTCAGTGGCATTTAAAGTGTTTTTATTGAGCCAGGTGAGATCCCTGCTATATAGAGCCTTTGCCGTCTGCAAGTGAATCGAATCAGGTTGAACATAGTATTTATCTTCCATTATCTGAATCACAGACTGATTCCAGGCATAATTCAGAGATGATCATCTTCTCTAAAGCTCTGAATGGACCTGCATCAAATAATGTTTACGGCCGTTGCAGGTCATGTCCCTTTTGCATAACTGTTTTCTTAGCAAGTGCAGTGGTGCTCCAGGGTCTTGGACCAGAGACACTCAGCTACTGGACTTGCTGCTCACTTCTTGTAGCGTGTCAGCAACTATAACCTGGCTCTTTTGAACTGTAAAAATGTTTGAAACTAAATAGTTAAGGAATTTTTCTCCTTAAAAGCTGCATGTTTTATTAACAAGAGTGAGAAGTAAGGGAGAGTCAGAGGTGTGTTTTGTTTGTTTGTTTCTTTTATTTTATTGTTTTTAAAAATGTATAAAATGGGCCATAGCAGATTAACGTTTTTATGTCTCTTCTCATGGTATATTCAGGAAGGTATGCGAATGTATAAAATGGGCCATAGCAGATTATACCATGAGAAGAGACATAAAAATGTTATTCAGGAAGGTATGCATTAGTTCATGGGAATGTTCCTATGTTACAGATTTTAGTAGGTAGTTTAAACTGAGAATCTCCTAATAATAGAAAAGAGGCCATTTGGTTCTCAGTAGAACACAGTACTATCCTTAAGCATGAGTTTGCAGGAATGGGAATTTATTGGATGGAAAAGTTACCGGACCTGTGGCAAAATATCTCAAGCAGGCAGCATCTCTTCTGGACACTGTGATGTTAGATGCAGACTCAGTTATTGCGTATTCAGGTGGTTCCATTTTTAGAGTCTTTACTTTCATAATCTTGACTGGGGTTCGTCTTATTTGTGTTGGTGAGACTTAATGCTGCACATAGCAGTAGAGAGAATCAGGCTAAGTACTACTGCCTTTGGTAAAATAGTCCTTCTGAAGCTCCAGGTTTCTGTTGACTGAATTACCTGCAGACCTGAGCCTGCAGACCTGGGCCTGGCTGATGTGTGCAGATGCTGAATTAGTGTTCAGCATAAGTATGTGCAGTCACTGCTGAGTGCTTTCCAAACTGTCAGCTTTCTGTGGGTGACGACAGCTTCAAAGAGATGCAACTCTGATGGAAGGAAGGAAGAGCAGAAGCCAATTGATGATGGTGCTGTCCTCTCTCTTAGGCATACTGTTACCATGGTCAGACTTTGCTGACCAGTGATAAGTGTGGAGAAGCAATCAGATCTCTGCAGGAATCAGAAAAATGTGAGTAGAATTGAGAATGGATTGTAGGATTTAAAAATGACGTGTATTTTGTTTTGCAGTATTGGGTGGTGTTTGATTTCCTGATGAAAATCTAGTACACTTTTCAATAGAGGCAGTGTGTCTATTTTAGATCTGTCTTACTGAAGACTTTTTTTCATAAGGGAGCTGCAGAAAATTTCAACTTTACTTTTCAGCCCATGAAGACTGGTTTGAGCCATCAACAATACTGTTTAAAAGAAAGTCTGGTCATTCTGCTTTATGGTCTGTATGTTAAATTAGAGCAGCCTCTAAATTATATAGCATGACTTAAGAGTGAAAATACAAAAATACACTATGACTCCTTCAAAAATATGCCCTTTTTTGTTTGTTAAACAGATTTTAATAATTTCTGTCCTTCTCCTTCCTTTGGAAGGTAGATAGGGGGAATGAACTAGAGTGCTCATATGCAAAGATGCTGCTCAAACTGTCTTGCCTGAAGGCTAGTATCTTTTGCTGTATCCCAGTGGCCTGTTCTGCATTATTTTACCACAACATGTAACAACATAAAACCACTCAAATTGTTTAATTTGAAATTTTGATATCAATATTAAAAGTAGATAAGGAAAAAAATGGGAGCATAAACTATATTGCATTACTTTCCATACAAGTCTTGTGTTTTTTGCTGTACCTTCTATGCAGAGAAAAGTGCATTTTTCCACATCCCTTATTGAACTATTGTTTATTTTGGGGCATCAACCCTGCATAGAAACCTTCATATCCACTTTTGTTTCCTTCCCCTCCCCTTGTTCACAATCACTTTTTGGCTGTGGTAAATCTTGGCTGGAGGTACTTCCCTTGAGCATGTTTATTTTTTTTCCAAGAAAAAAGAAGCTTGAATGGAGTCTGGTATCTCTTAAAACTAAAGCAACTGTAAATCAGAACTGCCGTTTCATAGATTCATGTAACTAACTTTTATTACAATGCCTTCTTGTGAAGTTTTTGCCAAGGCTGAAGTATTGTGCAAAGAATATGGAGAGACCAAAGGACCTGGGACTACAGCCAAACCTTCTGGACATCTCTTCTTTAGGAAATTAGGAAGTTTGATTAAGAACACTCTAGAAAAATGCCAGAGAGAGAATGGATTCATGTGAGTAATTCCTGGTTGGTACAGTACTCTGTGCAGATTGTTAATACCTCCTTTGCTTTTCCTTCAGGACAGGATGGTAACATTTACTCTACATGTAATTTGCAGAATTGCAGATTAATCTCTGACTTCCTCTCAGCAGATTTGCTGTCGGTCTGGTGTTAATCATTGCCCTCTCCTACGCCAGTCCGGCCGGGCAGGTTGGCCTGACGTGCTGGAGAGGTCAAGCTGTTTTCTTCCCTCTGTCATCTGCCTTTTTGTTCTTTATCCTTCTGCCCGAGAGACCTGCAGCAATTTCTGTTTTGCTCTTATGGCCCCTTCTCTGCTGCTGAGGCCTAGCAGGCAAAGGGGCCTGAGGGGAAATGGAGAACACTAGTACCTTATTCTGCCTTGCTAGCAGGGAAGTTGAAACACAGACATGCCTTCAATGAAGAACATGCTTAGAGTGCTAGGAACTCTGCTAGTGCAACTAAGAGTGTGACTAGGCTGTTTTTGAGTTACTGCATCTTTCAAAAAGAGTCAGGAAGCAGTTTAAAATAGCATTATTAGTTCAGCTTTAGAATTCTCTTGCAGTTTTCCTCTTCTCCTCTTCTCCTCTTATAATTTAGTTTTCCATAGTATTTTTTATTTCCCCTTTACAATATTTAAAGACCTATATAGCAGGGGAATTGACTAAATGCAAAGGATCATCAAGTACACCAAGACAAACTGAAGGAGAGGAAAAAAAAGCACCCAGGTTGCAGTAACCACTGTCAAACACCAAATGCTAATACTATGTTAATGTTAACATTGTTAACAACAAATGCTAACAACAAATGAGGTTTCAATGCACCTGTATTGCTCTAGAACCAAACTGAGGCAGAAGTCAGGTAATGCTTGCACATTCTGGGAGTTGTGCCTGCTGCAGAGCTCTGCTGGAGCAGAGGAAGTAGGATAGTGTGCACCAACAAGCGTCGATTTTTCAATTACTGTGAAATAGGCCAGATTTATGCTCTTATTCAGGTTCTTTATCGTAGTGAGTCTCTGTGGATGTTGCAGGGTTGGTCCTATTGTGCATGTTGAAGGACCAAAGCTGATTTAGCAGTAGCAGAGTCAGAGCACTGTCTGCCTCTTCACCTTTCTTGGGGGCATTTTAAATCACCCTCTGGGTTTTTAAGCTTTTGGAGCAAGGGGCAAAAATTAGTCTTTACATTGACCCATTGGGAAGAATGGTTACTGAATAAGAAAGAGAAGCCAACTAGTTACTGGTGGAGGAGCAGTGCCGAGGACGAATTGCTTTTGTTTTTGAGAAGCTTGTCACTAGAACACGTGTTGGGTGATGCCTTAATGACAGGCATTGAGAGCAGCACCGACTGCCCCTGTGAAAGGCCAGGTGGTTTTCCTTTGGAATTGCAGGCGAGACTTGCAGAGATCATGTGCTGAGCTTAAAAAGTATTACTGTATTCAATTGCAGTTACTTTCAGAAGGTGCCATCAGAGGCTCCCCAGCTGGAACTGAAAGCAAACTATGGCTTAGTAGAGCCTGTTCCTTTTGAATTTCCTGCCCTGAATGCACACTGGACTCCTGAAACACTTGCTGCATTTGATCTCACCAAGAGGCCAAAGGATGACACTGTAAGATTATTTTTTTATCACCTTTTTTCTCCATCAGCCTGACTGTGCATACAATACCAAGTTGCCATTTTGCTCTTCTGACATGCACCCCAGGTCAGTTAAGGGCACAGACACCAGCTACCACCTGAGCTCAGACTTGGACTGAGCAGAGAGGCGAGTCAGGTAATCTTGGTTGCACTGTCAGCAAATGGAAGTTACCGGGTCGCTAAGCCCCAAGTAGCCTCCTGTAGTGACATTACTACAGTAATGTGTATGAGACTGAGATGCTACAGGAGTGAATGGTATAAATAAAAAGTTTATTTCACAAAAGGATCCATTTAAGGGTACTGAAATAGAGAAGACTTGATTTACCTACCCTCTGCCCCTCTTCTTCAAGGCCTTCAGCTTTGAGAAGAGGGGAATATTAGGTTAGCAAATGTAAAGTTAGCGCTACATGAATCCTTGGCAGATAGCATGTTTTTTACATGGGGTATTTTAAGTCTTCTTTTCATTTTGGTTGCAGGCTAAACCGAAACCAGACGAAGATGTAAAACCTCTGAAGGAACCAGATATAAAGCCTCAGAAGGACAGCGGCTGCCAGATTTCTTAAGTGCCATAAGTGCTTTGAATTTCCTTTAAAAGCATATTAATTGGACTTTGGGGCTCTTTGTTCTGATCCTCCTTTTTCTGAGTCTTCTTTTTAATTTAGAATACTAATTTAATCTGCTTTTGTTAGTACGAATCTATCTTGCCTGAGAATGTGGTGGATTTTTGGAAGAAATGTATTTATATTTGACTTATTTTTGGTTTTAGCAGGATATCATAGAATGAATGGGCTTAATTGTCCCTATTGTGCCTCTAGAGAGTTTCTTTTTATGGGGGTTTAGTTTCTACCCACAAATAGCGAAGAAAGAATTATGACTGTAACACTTGAGGATTTTCCATTAAATTGTATGCTATATAATGTCAACTTCTGCAAGCAGATATTAGCATGAACAGTTGTATTTATTTAGGTTTGTCCCAAAGGCTTAACTCCCTGTCATGTTCTGATTTACTTAACTGTAATGACTGAAGAAAAGCTGGATTTGGTATGTAGCTTTTGTATAGTGTTTCACAGGGCTTTCACAGAATTGGGAAAACTTGAAGCTCTGCATAATGAGAGCACAGTTTATATTCTTCTAAAGCTATTGCACTCTGCTCTTTCCTTTATAGATTCCTGTCCGTGTATCAGAGTTTACAGTAGGGTATTTTAGACGTCCTTAAATTAAAATCCTCTCGTGTCAGACTGCATGTGGAAGTGATGCAGCAAGCAATGAGAAAGCTCTTAAAGGTAATGCCTCAGTGTCATTCACCCACAGTTCCTGAATTTAGAAAGATTTTTAAAGATGGAGAGATGTGGATGGTTAAAATCCCCTAAAACTGAAAAAGCTGAATTTGGATTTATGAAGGTGTTGTGCATAAGTTAATTGGATTGTAAATAAGATGCTTTGTTTCCTTCTGTAAGAAAGCCATCGGAGAACAGGTAGGGAAGATGAGCTGAGGAGCTAATGACAGAATCAGGACATCAGGCTCTGGATTTCCTTTGCACCATAAGTAAACAGTGCTGTATTCCAGCTTTCTCAGTGTCACATTGAAATTAGCTCCATATGAAGAGAATTTGCCAAAACCGAAGTCCATCGAAGACTGAGGAAGAACGTCTTTAGTAGAACCTGCTTCTTCTGTGTCTTTCTACTGTGGAAAATGTGATAATATTCTTTAGTACTGAGCACTCCAAAACATCGATATGAACAGAAGCTTTCTGGTTTGTTGCAAATGTGAGAGGGCGATATCTGGTGTCTGTGTTGGAGTGAGAGCTTCATGGTCTTTAGATCCCACTTGCTGCTCTTCGTTCCGTCTGCGAAAGTAACTGAACAGCTTGAAGATGTTCAGGCTTCAACGAAGCATGGAGTTATGTGCACTTAGCGTGGCAGATATTGCGGACACGTTCTTTGCATTGTGCGGTGTGGCTAGGTTCACCTTGCGCTGCTCTAGATCAGTGGGTCCATGTTTGAATCTTTTTGTGGATCTGGACTAGCAGCAGGTGTGTAGCTCCTTGAAGGCTTGCGGAGAAAGACTGTTGAGGGGAGGTTGATATGAACACGAGAGACTTCCTAGGATATTGGACCAAAGTACACAGTTCATTGCTGTAAAAGACAAAGAGGGTCTTGATGATGACTGCCATGGGTGAGTCGAATGCAAAGCTCACTGTATCCAGTGATGAGTCTTTCAACCAATTCTGCACTTGAAAACTTAAGTACAAAATCCCAAGGATCACTTTGGAAGACCAAGTTTGTTTTGATGGAGTTTATATGGATTTAAGATAATAAATATCTAAAGAGGTTTGTATCAAAAACATGTCCATGCCTCCTAACTGCATAACAAATGGAAAGAGGCAACTAGGGATTGTATGATGAGCACTCAGATTCCTTCATAACTCGACTATCTGATTTTTTTAGGCTTCTTGCATAGTTAAAAGACCAAGCTTAGGATTCGACAGAATGGAATGCGGTGTTACTCTGCCAATACAGATTTTAATACCCTTAAAAACTCATTACAGCTGAAGTCATCTGCTCAGCCTGACCCCTTTAAGGATCAAGATTGAATTAACTGGATTTCGTAATCCTGCGTTGTCGGTTGCTCATGACTTTTCAGACATCTCTCTGCCAATGCCAGTAGGTCTCAACCTACTTAACGCTTCTTTCTGAACACACTAGATGCGTTTTCCTTCTTGCTCCTCACTTTCCCTCCCATTGGCCACGCACTATGGCACAGACTTGTTTGCTAACGCACACGTGTGCACTGGGACTCATTTCCAGTGAGGCTTTTTGCCGTGGATGTATTTCAGTGTATGTATATCTTAAAATAAAAAGAGCAAATCTTGATTAAATCATTCCCCCAAAAAACCTTAAAGAAGATGCTATGGAGTTACCACTTTGTAATTCTTTGGGTGCTTTCTCAAACCAAGTGTTCGTTTGAACCAAATTCCCTGTAAATAGCTTTGGGTAAAAGCAACTGGATTGTGTCAGATTATGGCATTACTTAAGCCTAGTTGTGTAACCTCTTATGCCATAGCTGTTTTGGTAAATATGATGTAGTAGTGAAAATAGCCTAATAGAACAAACTAATTTACTGAAGCTGCTTTTCAAGACAAACTTTGCGTCCTTGCAGTTTAAAATCCTCTGGCAAACATTGAATAGTCTTGCCCAAGAAAAAGGAACTTGAGATTGTTTGCTTGGCAAAGCAAACAATATAAACTAAGTCAACAGGCAGTTTTTATCTTTGTTTTTGGCTGGAAGTGGTGGGAATTATTGTGCATAATATATAGATTAACTGTCCCGTATCATGAGGAATATAGGTGATTTGACTGGAAGTTTCCATTAACCTGGAGACCTAGCAGTCACTTTCCTTCTGTTATGGTTTCCTCTAATAATCCATTTTAATAATGTATTTCGAGTGCTGTCTTTTTAATATTCTTATGCTGCAAGAGCCTGTTTTTGTGGCCTCTGGGTGTAGAGGCTCTGATGGCTAAACCTGCAAGTGTTGTTCATATAGGTCAGTCTGAACAAGGACAAAACTGTTGCTGAATAAAATACTGAGCATTGGGCTCTTTCTTTTTGCGCTTTTAAAAATGCACTGATCATCGTAATGTACTAAAAAGCAAATTGGTAAACGCCCGAGGAATTATACTTGGAGACCTTTACACTTCCTTGATGTTTCATGTTCCTGGGTTTACAGTAGTTAACCTCCCTGTGGCACTCCTGCAACCAAAGGGTTGAGCTCAGCCCTTGGGTGCCAGTGCCCATCTCCCGTGGGGAGTTTGTGTGTCAGCCTAAGGATAACATTTGGTTCCTTGAATGTTCAGCATGAAAACATGGTGTATCTGTAACGATGGTTCCTACTATACCTATAAGCAAGCAAACATGCCTGTGTCTGTGTAGAATAGAGCCAACTTTGCACTTTAGAAATCTCCAATCTTGCAATTTCACTACAATACAATGTGTTTGTAAATATTCCTTCCTGGCTTTTTACTTCTGTTGCCCTGACTTCAGGACTGTGGTATTTGTACAATTTTTATGGGGAAACATTACTAAAATGTATTTTTAATTGTCTATGTATAAAATAAACTTACGAAGCATATCTCTCTCTTCAGTGCATAGGGAACACGAGAGGCAGTGATATGTCTGCTTTCCACGTCACGTCAGAGATGTTAAGCATCTCTGACTGGGGCATCATATCTAGTATTTCCTCTTGTTCCTGTGCCTAGCGTCTAAAACTGAAGCTTCAGCATTAACAGAAATCCTGTTTATGCTTATTACTTCTCCCTAAAAATCTGTTTCTAAAGACCATTATTGTCGAATTAACGAAGCACTGCAAGACAGATTTGATTTTTAAGCCTGGCCCACATAAGGGAGAGTCCAGCCCGCTGAGAGCAGCTCTGGCGAGGAAGACCTTGGCCGTGTGTGTCCCCCGCAGCTCCTGAGCGCGCAGCGGTGTGGCCCTTTGGCCACAGCTCATGGATTTGCTCAGGTCATTCCCTGCTGGGGATGCTTTCAAATTCCAGCCGGTGTCACTCAGCAGCTGAAGGGGCTCTTGGTCACGCAGTGAGGCCCCCCCTTGGCTGGAGATGGCATCTTGGTGGGTTACAAACTCGTGCCTGCAGCAAGCGTGTGCTCCAGTTGCTCCAGCTGATGGGCTGAATGGAATAAACTACGGTGGGATTGACCAAACAGCCTTAATTTCTGAAGGCAGTCACCATGTAGTCTTAGCTTTGATAGTTTGAAAATTTGTGTATCAGAACTCGTTTCAGAATACTATTTAAAATAAAAACAAGCAAGCACTGTGTTACATTTTTTGTTTCATCATTTAAAATGTTAGTAAAAGGAGAGAACACTTTATTCTTGGAGTGCATCTAAAGGAGGGCTCCATTAAGCAAGTCACAGTGATGTGGCAGCTCTGCAGTTCGGAGGTGTGTGAATGGGGCACAGCGGGAAGTCAGCCCGCAGCTACAATGGTGCACATGAAGTTATGTGGCAGGAAGAGGGAAGGTGGAACTTCCAAACTTCTGTGTTTCTTATTTATTTAAGGCTTGGGCTTGAGTGTGTGCGTGTGTGTGTGTGTTCGTGCCAATGCAAAACCGTGTGCTTGCCAAGCTCTGCGCCGTGGCAGGTTATTGGGGTGTTCAGTGTTCTGCATTAAAGGCTCATTGGGCACCTGCAGATCACTAACCTGCCAGCAGACGGCAAATAGGTCACCGGGAAACGGGGGGTTTCATTTTTGGAGGCAGCACCGGCTCGTTCAATTTTTAGTGTAAAAACACACTAATGCCTTTCAGCCTCTGCGGCTTTAGTTCAGTTTCTGTATGAAAATCAGCCGAAGGAGGCAGAATGATAAAAATCGCCTGCGAATGAGGCACGTGGGGCACCTGCAGCCCCTCTCGAGGGCTTTCGCTGTGAGCAGCGCCCCAGGGGCGCCTGTGACCGCCGCGCCGCCGCTCCCCATCCTACCTGCTCTTACTCTCAGGCCAAACCTGCCCCTTCGAACCTGCCCGCAGGTCGCTGCTGCCTCCAGCTCTGTGCCTGCCTTTCCCTTTTTTTTTCTTTTTTTTTTTTTTTTGAGCATTTTAAAGAAACAAATTCTGCAGGTGAATTTCCTTTTTAATGTGTTGATGGCAGGTGCTTTTTCACAGCTATATCTATTTGTTGTCCTAGCTTCATAAAGTGACTTACTGCTAAAATTCTGCCATAAGGACCTTTGCTACATTACTCTTGTATGGCATCGTGGTAGTAATTTCATGGTCGAATTTGCTTATCATTATAAATCTTTATTTTCCTTAACTTTAATCCAGTAACAAGATCTCACACATATATAGTAATAAATCTATGTATGCTATTTTTCCCTGACTTGCAGCAAGAGAGGTGTAAATAAAAAGTGCAAATTAAAAGTAAATAGCAGTACATAGATATAAGTCTACTTTGATTAAGAAAACATTAATAATGCTATATGTTCTCAAGGATTTTTTAGTTATTTGATGTGTAGTTGTATCTTCTGCTTTGTAACTTCAGGAAAAAATGAAAATAGTTCTGCAGACTTTATTGGGGATCCCCACCAAAGATGAAGTTGTTCAGCAACAAAAATTAATTAAAAATAAGCCA